AAATGTACACAAAGCTTAGGAATTCACGATACATTCACTCTTCACAAAAATTTATAGAATGTCTAAAGAAAATATGTGTGGTGAGAATTGCAATTACCTTTAAATAAGAACAAACTTTGAAATAGATACAAAGAAAAGTTGGGTTTCGAGGAATCTCTTGTTTCATAATTGTTGAGCTTACTTCCATTTCCGAGGCAATCTCCTTCACCTTTTCACCAGAATGGAAGGAGATTACCTCGGAAACATCGTCAGCATGAATCTTCCAGTAAAGCCAATCGACAGCTGGTCAAGAGGAATCCGCCGTCGTCTTCTGGTGAAACTTCGAATCTCTTCACCCAAACTTTCACTCTAAATGGAAGTAAGCTCATCAATTATGAAACAAGAGATTCCTCGAAACCCAACTTTTCTCCCTTCGAATCTCTTCACCCAACACTTCCACTCAAAATGAAAGTAAGCTCAACAATTATGAAACAAGCGATTTCTCGGAAATAGCGTCACCGTGAATGTTCCAGTAAAGCCAATCGACAGCTGGTCAAGAGGAATTCGCCGTCGTCTTCTGGTGGAACCGACAAATCTTCCAGTAAAGCCAATCGACAGCTGGTCAAGAGGAATTCGCCGTCGTCTTCTGGTGGAACCGACCTCCGAATCTCTTCACCCAACACTTCCACTCGAAATGGAAGTAATCCCAACAATGTTGATCTTTTGTCTCTCCAATGCCAGTAAAGCCAATCGACAGCTGGTCAAGAGGAATTCGCCGTCGTCTTCTGGTGGAACCGACCTTCGAATCCTCGCGTCAGCATGAATCTTCCAGTAAAACCAATCGACAGCTGGTCAAGAGGAATCCGCCGTCGTCTTCTGGTGGAACCGACCTTCGAATCTCCTCAACCAAAACACTTTCACTCGAAATGGAAGTAAGCTTAACAATTTGGAATAGAGGACAATAAAATTTGATCTCAAAGTAAAGCCCACTTTTGAATCAATCTCATATTGATCATGCATCACTTTTAGTAGAATCCAAGTGATAAGAATAAATATCCCTAATCACAAACAAGACTAAAAACAAGCTTTTAAATAAAATCGTTGTTACAACACTGTAGGATAGCAAGTTGTAGAAGCGTCTTTCACCACTTCGTTTAAAACAAATGGATAAGATAGC